CCACTAATGTTCTATCACATTCCTCTTGATGTCCTCTCATCCACTAATGTTCTATCACATTCCTCTTGATGTCCTCTTATCCACTAATGTTCTTATATCACATTCCTCTTGATGTCCTCTCATCCACTAATGTTCTATCACATTCCTCTTGATGTCCTCTCATCCACTAACGTTCTATCACATTCCTCTTGATGTTATCTCATCCACTAATGTTCTTTCACATTCCTCTTGATGTCCTCTCATCCACTAAACTTATATCACATTCCTCTTGCTGTCCTCTCATCCACTAAACTTATATCACATTCCTCTTGATGTCCTCTCATCCACTAATGTTCTTATATCACATTCCTCTTGATGTCCTCTCATCCACTAATGTTCTTATATCACATTCCTCTTGATGTCCTCTCATCCAATAATGTTCTTATATCACATTCCTCTTGATGTCCTCTCATCCACTAATGTTCTTATATCACATTCCTCTTGATGTCCTCTCATCCACTAATGTTCTATCACATTCCTCTTGATGTCCTCTCATCCACTAATGTTCTATCACATTCCTCTTGATGTCCTCTCATCCACTAATGTTCTATCACATTCCTCTTGATGTCCTCTCATCCACTAATGTTCTATCACATTCCTCTTGATGTCCTCTCATCCACTAATGTTCTATCACATTCCTCTTGATGTCCTCTCATCCACTAATGTTCTATCACATTCCTCTTGATGTCCTCTCATCCACTAATGTTCTATCACATTCCTCTTGATGTCCTCTCATCCACTAATGTTCTATCACATTCCTCTTGATGTCCTCTCATCCACTAATGTTCTATCACATTCCTCTTGATGTCCTCTCATCCACTAATGTTCTATCACATTCCTCTTGATGTCCTCTCATCCACTAATGTTCTATCACATTCCTCTTGATGTCCTCTCATCCACTAATGTTCTATCACATTCCTCTTGATGTCCTCTCATCCACTAATGTTCTATCACATTCCTCTTGATGTCCTCTCATCCACTAATGTTCTATCACATTCCTCTTGATGTCCTCTCATCCACTAATGTTCTATCACATTCCTCTTGATGTCCTCTCATCCACTAATGTTCTATCACATTCCTCTTGATGTCCTCTCATCCACTAATGTTCTATCACATTCCTCTTGATGTCCTCTCATCCACTAATGTTCTATCACATTCCTCTTGATGTCCTCTCATCCACTAATGTTCTATCACATTCCTCTTGATGTCCTCTCATCCACTAATGTTCTATCACATTCCTCTTGATGTCCTCTCATCCACTAATGTTCTATCACATTCCTCTTGATGTCCTCTCATCCACTAATGTTCTATCACATTCCTCTTGATGTCCTCTCATCCACTAATGTTCTATCACATTCCTCTTGATGTCCTCTCATCCACTAATGTTCTATCACATTCCTCTTGATGTCCTCTCATCCACTAATGTTCTATCACATTCCTCTTGATGTCCTCTCATCCACTAATGTTCTATCACATTCCTCTTGATGTCCTCTCATCCACTAATGTTCTATCACATTCCTCTTGATGTCCTCTCATCCACTAATGTTCTATCACATTCCTCTTGATGTCCTCTCATCCACTAATGTTCTATCACATTCCTCTTGATGTCCTCTCATCCACTAATGTTCTATCACATTCCTCTTGATGTCCTCTCATCCACTAATGTTCTATCACATTCCTCTTGATGTCCTCTCATCCACTAATGTTCTATCACATTCCTCTTGATGTCCTCTCATCCACTAATGTTCTATCACATTCCTCTTGATGTCCTCTCATCCACTAATGTTCTATCACATTCCTCTTGATGTCCTCTCATCCACTAATGTTCTATCACATTCCTCTTGATGTCCTCTCATCCACTAATGTTCTATCACATTCCTCTTGATGTCCTCTCATCCACTAATGTTCTATCACATTCCTCTTGATGTCCTCTCATCCACTAATGTTCTATCACATTCCTCTTGATGTCCTCTCATCCACTAATGTTCTATCACATTCCTCGTGATGTCCTCTCATCCACTAATGTTATATGACATTCCTCTTGATGTCTTCTCATCCATTAAACTTATATCACATTCCTCTTGATGTCCTCTCATCCACTAATGTTATATCACATTCCTCTTGATGTCCTCTCATCCACTAATGTTCTATCACATTCCTCTTGATGTCCTTTCAGATTGCAGCTGTTTTTTTATTTTATTTTTATTTTATAATATTTTTAATGTTGTTTGTTCACCGAAGAAGGCTTCTTGTCGATATGTTCGTTGTGTGCTTTTTCAAGTTTAATTTCCACATACTTTGTTTTCCTTGTGCATTAACGTGTTGAATGTTGATCTAATTGACCGTGAGCACCTTAGGGCACTCTCAACAATAAATAAACTCATCACAATTTTTAAATGTCAGATATAGACAATTAATATTATGGCAATTATTGTGAAAAAACGTAAGCGCTAACCCTAACCAGTGTTACTTATTAAACAAAGGGTGAATGGGTCAGGTGTCGATTCAACAAAACTGGCCAAATAAAAGAAGAAAGAAAGTAAATAGGGATATCAAGTTGTCACTTGGAATGGCTAAGACATACTGATTTAAAGATTGGCTACAGCAGGATACAATGTGATAACCATTAAAAATTGTCAGATTAATTAAGTTTCAGTCAATTATTGTAAAGTGTGTTGCTGAGGCTTTAATTCAAGCTTTTATTATTTTTTAAAAACTCTTTAATAGAATATTTTTATAACCTTGGGAAATCTTACGAAATTATTAATTGACCATCTCTTGGGAATTTTGAAAAAAAGTGAGTGGTACAGGGCTGCCACTCACTTTTTTAAAATTTCCCAAGATTTGGTGAACAAATTTCCCAAGATTTCCCAAGATCATAAAAATATATAGAGTTTTTTTTTTTTAAGGGGGGTTTTCTATTAAATTAATGTATTGAATTAATGCCCCTGAAAAACATGGTACATTAATTGACTGAAATTTATTGAAAAAGACATTTAAAACATGTTTATCAAATTTAAAAAAAAACAATTTGTTTTTAAAAAAATAATTTATAATCCAAAATATCAATACCCACTGGAAGTATGCTACTAAATATTACCTCCGAATTCTCTGGTAAAAATATCATCTACAATACATGTGTAATAGAAGTCACTTGGAAAAAAAGTATACAAGGCTAATCAACACAGAATTCCTTTTACAAAGGCAAAAGGTTCTTCATCAAAAAATGATTTTTTATTATTGTAAATCTGTTGATTAGAAGTGGGGTTTGCAAAGCAATGAAGCAAACTTTATTAATAATAATTGTAGTTAAATGGATTGATATTATTATGAAAACAATAAGTATTTTTATTTTTTCTTGTAAATTTACATTATAACGATTTTTTCACAAAAAAAAAAAATACTTTTAAAGGAATTGTTCATTTATAATCCTACAACGTAGGCCTATACTTTTAATATCTTAGTCACCTGTGTTTCAATCCACAAATATTTTTTCTAATTGTTGAAAATTAGGCTGGATTTTTTACAGATGCATTATATTTTGAACAAATTGTAGAAGTATTGAAATAATCAAATTTTACTATGGCATGGATTCTTGATTGAAAACTAATGACACTATCGTTCACTCTTTGGCTTGTACTGTTTTTCGTATGGTTGCTAATGTCTAAGAGCATAATGATAAAGTTTCCGAGACTAACACCCCCCCCCCTATTTAATAAACATTCAAAACCTGGAGCCTGGATGTAATTTGTAAATCTTCAATTTTAAAAAAAAAAAAAGAAGAAAGAAAATTGAATTTTTTTATAAATTATTAACTTTTTAATAATTCACAATATTAACTTTAATATCAGAAGAGTTTTTATTT